GCCGCGCCGCTCCAGAGCCGCACTGGGCTTTCCCGGACACCGGCGGTCTTGCGGGGGCCGGCCGCGGGCGAGGCTCCTGGCCGTCTCTTCCCGCCGCGGGCTCCGCACCCTGGCGCCCACCCGCTCGCCTCCCACGGCTGGGCGGTGTCGTGCCAGCGGAGTTGAGAGGAGATGGCGGGAGGCCTGCTCCGGAGGCGAGATCTGGGGGAACCCCAGCCGCTGCACCCCAGCTTTCGCATGCAGAGGGAGGGGCCCGCGGCTGCCCCGCCCCTCCCCAGAGCTCGGCTTGAGGCTCCCGTGGGGTGTTGGCGTCTCGTGACTGGCTCCCTCCCCTGGTCCTCACGGCCCTGGCGGGAGCCGTCTGTGGGTCACATCAGTGTTGTGTTGGGGGGCGTGCGCTTGTGGGGCTCCCTCACCACCTCTGGGCTGACCAGCTGACCTGGCTGACCGGCTGGCCAACCTCTGGACTGGCCGGCCGGCCTCGGCTGACCGGCCGGCCTCTGGGCTGGCCGGCTGGCTGGTCTCTGGGCCTCTGGGCCTCAGCCGGGAGCACCAGGCCCCTGCTGGGTGTGACGCTCCTTCTGTCCCACCGGTGGGAGGTAGCCGGTGGTGGAAGGGCCCGGTGGCTGGACCCCCTCGTTCCGACCTGTCTCTCCGTCCGCAGCCGGCCCTCCAGGCCCAGTCTGGCAGCAGGGGCTTCCTTGCCCCACGCCCCGGGCCCTGACCGCGCGCTGCCAGCCCCTTGGCCGCCTTCCCCGCGGTCAGTTTATGACGCACAGGGCTCCTCAACCCCAGAAGCGAATTTGGGGGTTCCTCGTTGTGGGAGAGGGGCCGTGCGGGCCAGGAGCTGAACCCACCCACCAGGCCTCCCTGCCACCGTCAGACGGGGCGCCGGAGCCAGGCCGCCCTCCGTGGCCCGCCCCGGGCGCTGCTGTCCTGGCGATGACGTCTGCGTGTTTCCTTCTTTCTGCAGGGCCCCGAGGAAGACATGTCTGACAAGATGTCAAGCTTCCTCCACATCGGAGACATCTGTTCTCTGTACGCGGAGGGTTCGACCAATGGGTTCATCAGCACGCTGGGGTAAGAGCGGCCACTCCTCCGGCCCGCCGGCTGCGGACCCCGCCCCGCCCGCTCGCCGGCCGTCCGGCCGAGCGCGTCCAGTCTGGCTTCTCGGGGGTGGTCCGAGTCCTGAGGTTCTCGCCCCCAGTTGGGCCTTCTGTGCGGAGCGTGCTTTCCTGCCCGCTCTGGGGGAGTCCGGCCTCACAGCAGGACTCGGGGCCCCCGGGCAGTGGGTTCCCCTCGGTGGTGAGGGAGCGCAGGGCCCCGCGCCCCAGGAGGCCTCTGCACTCGACGGGAGCCGCCGTGGCCCAGCAGCGACCGTGCCTCAGCCGCGGACGCTTGCCCCTCTGGCCGCACTGGCCTTTGGTGGCCGCTGGTCTGAAAGCTGGACGGGTCTGCGCTCCGCCCATGCGCTCCCGGAGTCCCGCGGCCCTGCCTCTGGCCGCCCGAGCCTGGCCAGGCCCTGGCCCGGCCGTGCGGAGAGCCTCAGCCGCTCGAGCCCTTGCTCTGGCTGGCAGCTCTGGCTGGCAGGCCGTCCCTGGCTCCCGCGTGAGCGGGTTCCGGCGTGAAGCCCTTCCCCGGCCGCGCTCTGCTCCCTGCTCGTGGGCGGCGGCCGAGGCAGGCCAGTGGGGCTGCTGCTCGGGGCTCGCCAGAGGTCCCAGCGAGACACCGTCCCTCCTGCTGAGTTTGCAGCCGGGGAGGGCTCTTCTGGGCCTCTGCCGCCCCCACTAGATAGGTAGAGCGTCCGGCTCGGCAGGAAGGCCGTGCCCGGGCGTTCTGTGCGTGCGGGGGGCCGGGAGCCGGGTCCCCACGGCCGCTTTTGCTGGCAGGGTGGGGTGCGGAGGGCCAGGGTAGGTGCCTGCTGCACGAAGTCTGTGGCTCCTGGCGGCGTCGGGCACTTCCGGGCCTCGAAGGGCCCTGTCGGGACGCACCTGGGACTGCTGTGTCCGGCGCTGACGCGGCCCGGGCCTCTCGGAAGCTCCGCCGGGCCCCCCCACCCCTGAAAATGCCCTCTGCCCTCACGCCTGCTTCAGCTCTGGAAGGCCCCCCCCCCCCCCGGGGTTCTGGCGCTTCCTCCTGACGCAGCCCACAGGGCTTGGGGGTGTCCGGACAGCTGCTTCCGGTCCCGCCCTCGCCTTGCGCCCCGGGTCAGGGCCCCGCCCTGCTGGCCGTGCGCCCGGCCCGCACTAGCCCTCCGCTGCTGCGACTCGCCAGCGCTGAGCCCGGCTCCAGCCCCCGGTCAGTCTCGGCCCCTTGATGGACGCGCCCAGGAGAGGAGCCAGAGTGTGTGCCCGGGGCGGAGGCGAAGCCCCCGGCTCTGGGGCCTCTCGCGGACACGGGACGGGGGGCGGGACGGGGGCGCCGGCGGGTTTTGCGGTGGGCCGCGGGCGTGCGCCCTGCCTGGCTGTCCCGCACTGGGCCTGCTGCAGCGGGTCTTTGTCTCCCTGCAGCCTGGTGGACGACCGCTGCGTCGTGCAGCCTGAAGCTGGGGACCTTAACAACCCCCCCAAGAAATTCAGAGGTAAGTCGACGGCTTTCCTGGTCGGGAGCCCGCCTCTGCTGGAGATTCTTGAGCTGTGTGGCTGGTTGTGACTTCTTGGCGCTCAGAGCCCCTCTGCGTGCGCTTTCAAGTGAGATTGGGGCGCCGAGCTCTGATGGCTCGCGAGCATGACGTGGCTGGGCGTCAAGATTTGGGGTGCCTTACAGTGGCCCACGTGTTGGTGCTAGCTCAGTGCTGGGGGGCTCCGCGCAGAGAGGTCTCTGGGCGCGGCCTGGGGGCGCTAGCTCAGTGCTGGAGGGCTCCGCGCAGAGAGGTCTCTGGGCGCGGCCTGGGGGCGCTAGCTCAGTGCTGGGGGGCTCCGCGCAGAGAGGTCTCTGGGCGCGGCCTGGGGGCGCTAGCTCAGTGCTGG